TAGTATAACGTTTTGTCAAATCTGGATCAGATACTTGTAATTATAAACGTTTTCTAAGGTCTGTTAAATATTTTTTCTTTCAAGAGGGGGAATGCCTTTCATTAGCCCATTAACTCATAACGATATAAATCTAATCCAACTTACTGTTTATACTCACACATCTTAAGCGATAACACGGGATCTGACTTTCAGCACTTCAAATGAAGAACTCTATCGATAACTCGAAGCAACGAGTTCTTAATCGATGCAAATCACTGTGCTCGGAACAAAGACCCAATACTTAACGACTGAACATTAGCAGGGCAATCTGATCCTACATGTTCATGAACAATGCAAATGCTTTGAAATCAATCTGGCAAGCTGGCGATTAGACTTGGGATAAACGCTTGAGTAGTTTCTCGAGGTCGACAAATCACTGGCTACTCAGGTTTGGGCTGGGCTTTCGAAGCTTCTCAGAGAATGACCCTCGCCCCCGCCTCTTTCGATGGCTATCTTAACCACATAACTTAATAACAGAGCTTTTGTTTCTCTGACTCCTATTGTTTTCACTCGAGTCCTAAACTCAATACTGGAGATATGTTTATGACACACCAGTGAAAGCGCTATATTAATTTTTCTGGTCACAAAAGTAAATTAGATATGATATAAGAACCATTAAAAACAAAGACCAGGAACCAACAACATTATACGTCATGTCACATGGCCTCTTCAACTGCAGAGGCCACGTGTCAGCGCATGATAATAGAGGTTTCTGATTTTTATCGGTTATTTTCTAATTAATATGAGAAGGTTATCCTGTGATTACCCACAGGTGTCCTTATGCCTAATTGAAAATGCTTATATTAAGGACTTCACTGGATACTGAGAATAAATTGCACTTAAGATGTACACTTATATAACGGAGAAGTGTTGGAATGATTTTTTATGATCTTTAAGCATTTTAGAATTAAATAGAAACGAGATAAGTGTGAGATTCTGTTGAAAGATCGTTGGAGAGGGTTGGAGATATGGGAGTAAACTATACGAGAGCTTGAAGGATGTTGGAGTGAAGGTGAAGAAGGGAGTTAAGGGTGACAATATGTAAATAAAGAGTTTGGAAAAGGTGTGGGAGTGAACTTTAGTTGTGTTGGATTCAATAATAATGAAGTGTGGAAGAGGTGGCCTCCTGCAGGAGTGAGCTGCAGAGGTGTGGAAGTGTGCTGGAATTATGTGGCAGTAGCTGTAGGAATATGGTAAAGATATGGAAATAAACTGTAGTGAGTATGATGGGATGTTACAGTGAGTTGGTAGTGTGTTAGTGGTTGTGGGAGAAATTGGGATGTAAAAGTGAGTGGTAGGGGTGAGTAATATGGGTTGGGAAGTAAGTAAAAAGGATACGAGAGGTAGCTGACAGGTTGTGTAGTGAACTGAGTGTAGCTTTACTAAATCATTAGTGCCACAGAAGGGTAGGTAATGTAGCTCCAAAATAATTTCTTGTAAAAATTTAAAACGCACTGCCTAATAAATATCATGGGCTTCGTTTTACAATTATGCAAAATCATTTAGAACACTGACAACAATAACAATTAGGTTTACTCTCATAAAAAAATAAATATAAAATGCATGGGAAATGCATATGGCCGAGGAACAAGATTCGAAAAATTCCAAAGAAACGTTAATGAAATAATGACTAAAATCAACTACAAGAAACCGGAGCCTTCACAAACTGGACAAAATGCTATAAATGTATAAACTATATGATGTTGCCTCGAGGCAAATACATGTTTGTTTTAAATATTTTTTTAAGACCAGGTTTGAGAAATGAACTAATTCCCCTGGTGAAAAGATAAGAAAAAATCGTAAATGTGGTCACGTTTTAAGTTTAAGGTAAAAACAAATTCATGGGTGTTTGTACACTGAGCTAACTATTAATTAGCTAAAACTGATGGATAGAGCAGTTTATTCATTTTATATAAAGTAACTCAACGAAAATACCCCCCCCCCACTTTTTTCAAGAAAAATACAGTTTTCCGGGCCAGGGACTAACAAACAGTACCGAGCCCACTGTCACGACTCGACCAGTATTATATACCAGTTATAAACTTACCAAAATTAATGCATGGCCAACATAAGAGCTACTCACGACCAGGGTGAGATCAACCTTAAAACACCTTAATGACCCTCCCTAGCGGTGTCTACCATCACCCTCAACCAGTGGAGTGAATATACTTTCAAATGGACTAGCACGCCTTGCCAATGTTACCCAATTTATACGGCCTATCGCACATAAGAAAACAAAACCCCCAAGAGAGTGAAAGAGATCAGGGAGATGGGGGAAAAGCCTGGGTGGGCCACCGGGGAAGCTGCTCCTATAAAAGCCTGCAGAGCACGACTCCGTGGAGCAGAAGCCAATTAGTATATTATACTGGGGAAAGGTGGGTGAATCTTTAGTCCCATCGGCGAATCTCGTCACATTTTAAGGGTACTGATTCCCCTGAAGCTGTTTAAAGTTTTAATTGAAAACTTCTGATAATACTTTTTGCTTTGATTCATATTTTCTCAAGGAGCAGGGTCTTAATGCTAGTAAAGAGCTCTTGATCCAAGAAACTAGATTTATTCTACCCATTCTTGGATCAAATCGGAATGCTTCCCATTCCTCAGGTGCTCTATAACCCCTATGTGATTATCGTCCCTCTCCCCCCCCCCCGATTAAAATAAATTAAAATAAAATCTATTTCAAATGTTTGATAATACACAACATTATTTTGAACTCTAAGTTATGGAATCTTGATCACCAGAGTATGATGGTCAGAAGGACGCTTTCTCTTCTGGTCTTCGAAGTATCATCAGAGGTGAGAGATACTCGGAATGTAGGAGAGTAACAGAAAGAGAGAGAGAGAGAGTGAGAGAGAGAGGATAGTGAGAATAAAGTGGAAGAGAGGGACCATAATCTGGCCTGCCGCCAGTTTGGAAGGAATCATCCGTGGATACCCACGACTGCAGCAGATCTTCCGTTCACTTACAGATATATTGGGTCCAGTGGAAGGTGTCAACATTGGTATGTAAACATACCAGTGTTGACATGGGGAGTTGGCGTAGGTATGGAGGATAATCCCTTACCCCTGGTGGGTCGTGTGGAGGACGACCCTTCTCACCTCCTGGTGGGTCGTGTGGAGGACGACCCCTCACCCTCGCACCTCTAGTTAACGTCCCGTTGCTGGCCGACAATTTTCTTTATCTGAGAAATAACATCGTGACCATCGTTCGTCCCTCCGCCCCCCGCAGGTCGCTCCCGGGCCACCAGATTATACTACCCTCGCTGATAACATGAAATTATGGCAGATAAAGTAAGTAACGCTAAAGCTGTCTGCTGGACAATGGGAGGAGGAGGACTCCACGGAGCCACTGAGCCGCCATGGTAGCCCCTCTGACGCTGATGGTGGGAGGCGATAGTGACCAGGTGGATGCCCATGGCAGCCTCTCATGCTGATGGTAGTAGGTGAGAGTCACCAGGTGGTTGTACATGGTAGCCTCTGACACTTATGGTGGGAGGTGATTGTGATTGCCTAAATGATTCTGATAGTGGAAGGTGACAGTGCTCAGTACGATGGTCATGACAACTTAAGTAATGGTAGATAGTGAGAATGATCATACAGATAGATGCTCATGGTAACCCCATTCACAACTCACTCTTCCTAAAACAGTCCCCTCACTCATACTACAATCCCCTACCCATCATACCACAATCCCCTCCCTCCTCACACCATAGTACCCTCACTTCTCACACCACAGTCCTCCACTCATACCACAGTCCCCTCACTCCTCATACCAGTCTTCTCACTTCTCATACCACAGTAACATAATTTTTTTATACATACTATAGTACCACAACTCCTGGCACCAGTCTTCTCTCTCCTCATACCTCAGACCCCCTTCACTATTTATACCATAATCTCATCACTCACCACTACCATAGTCCCTTCACCCCCCTCATACTCTGTTCTTTGGTTAAAGAGATACTTCGTGACATGTCTCTTTCTCACGATTATCTGACAGAGTATTGAGCCTCCAGCACTCAATAACCAAGAGCATTATATACGTAAAAAAAAAATAGATTTCACAGGGTAAGCCTAACTGCAAGAGCAGTTTCTATTGCGGTTAGCAAACGGAGGTTCGAGTTGCTGGTGTCGCTCGTCATAAAATATATTCATTATAAAAAATTATACAAAAAAAAAAAAAAAAAGCCGCAGTGTACCGTCGATAATGAAACAAAAGCACTGAATCATCTAGAAAAAAAAACTGAACTGGAACCTTGCAGCATCGACAGCCAAATGGTATGGAAATACCTCTAGGGATTTTCAGGATATCCAGCAGCGTAAACCATTACTTATCCTCCCGAGCCATCAACATACACCTTTAGTGGTGAGTGGGCCTCCAGAGGTTAGGAGAGTCATTACGCTTTGTACCACACGTGCGGTGAGGCTCCACAACCCAGGCAGGTTTTGACCATACGTCATCCAAGGCCTAAGGCTGCTGAGGTATTAATCTCAGGGGTGTGTCGATAATTGGGTGATGCGGCAGGATCTAGAGAGATAGAGAGAGAGAGAGAGAGAGAGAGAGGAGAGAGAGGAGAGAGAGAGAGAGAGAGAGAGAGAGAGAGAGAGAGAGGAGGGGGAAGCCGACACAAGTGGGTCAAATATTAGAGAGTAGAAATTTATCAAAAGTGTCTTTCATAACTCTTGATGTAACCATGGAAAGCATACATTCGTCATGACTATATTATATTAAGGAATTTACTATATGACAAATGCCATCTACTGCTTGATGTTGCCCCCGAAGACAGCCTGCACTTTTCGCCTTGACTTTTACGTAATTCGGTTAATACTGAGAATTCTGAGACTGACTTTAAGGCTGGGAGTAGTGATCGCCTGGTGGGACTGTGCCTTTTTTTTCAGATTTGGTTGTTTCATGTATATGGTACAAGCAGTTGTGAACAGGTTATGGAGAAAAGGTAGACTTACCTCGACATATTCGGCGCAAAGTTCTATGCTTCCCACGAATGAGCAGACATCATCGACTGTCCAGTGGCCAATAGTCTCAAGTGTTGGGCAGTTCTTGTCTGAGCAAGGTGTGGGAGGCTTGTGTGTCCCAGGTGATGGAGTGGGCCGAGGCTTAGGGGGCGTGGGAGATCGAGTAGTGTGCGACTTGGTTTCTAACTTCTTCTCCTCTTCGTGTTGAAGACCAAATAAGGTCTTAACGTCGAAGGACTTGGAAGGTTCTGTGCGGGGTCTCTTTGTGGTCATGGTTGCGGAGAGATCGAGGGGAGACGTTGGGGCGTCAGCTGGTCGCTTCATGGCTCCCCGAAGGTAATTCTCCAGCTGTGATTGTTGCGTCACAGAGGCGTTACGCACCATATTGAGAAGGACTTGAGAAGAGGACATGTCCACCAAAGGAAACCCAGGGAAGCCAGGTATTCCAGCGGCCCCTGGGAACATAGGAGGCGCTCCTGGGTGCGGCAATTGAGAGATCCCCGCAGCTGTGGAAACTGGTACTGTGTCAATTTTTTTATCATTATCCTTGACTGAAGATGTGGTGGGTGGAGTAGGGACACCGAGAAAGGGCGCCGACCCGTGCTTGAGGCCTGGCAGGCCCCCCAGGGGGTGACGTAGGAACCCGTTGTTTGGACTGCTGAAGTAACTGCAGGGAAGAGAAAGAAAAGGTCATTAGCCACCCTCGGCAGGAGTTTCCATTACATTATCTACATCAAGTACCATTAGTGACTGGTCACCCCATGCACTCACAAAACGATAAAAGAGGGACAAGGAACCAGGCGGGCCAAGAAAGAAGGCAAATCATGGGAGGCGGGAATCAGAGGATGATAGTGGTCAGAGGGAAAGATACCTCATATAGATATTATTCACAAAAATTAAAGATATACACATGTCATAAAATTGCTTTCTAACAAAATAAGTATTATCATACACCATTGTATAACCATAATCATACATCAGTATTTAAACAAAACGAAACACGAGATCTTGCACTATGATAACTATGTACTAAGGACTAGCTTGCTCAAATTGCACAGCTCTCTAGAGTACTACCCAATACACGCAAAAATCGTTACCTGTTATGCATCCACCGCTTATACTGTATTATAAGCAATTCATTTAATTTATTTGTCCTAATCCTTGAGTTTCAACCATCTTGAGTTGCCTCCAACTTCCAAAATATTATAAATTGTTATTCCCTTCTCCACTTTCTGCAAAGTTCATCCCGACCATCCCTTTCATTCTAGCTACCTTTATCAATTGTCCTATTTCCTCTTCCAATCTTTGGGTCTATTTTTCTTCACTTTCTCAGTTGATAGCTTTCAGGTTCATGTATAATTCCTCAGGAAGTTTGCTCCTTAGCTAATATCTGCTCAAAATTCTTCTATTGTACCATTTTTCTTCCATTAATCTTACCCCCATTTTGAGTATACGATATCATTTAATAGATTCAGTAGTCATATATTCAAGCACTAGTCAGTGAGTTCATCAGTCACGTGTAAAAATTTAAGTTTGCTCATCACATTCAGGTGTGTGTGATACGGTCAGATGCATAGATGCTAGTCCCCTAGTGATCGTGCGCGTGCGTGTGTCTTTTTTGTGTATGAATGTGTGTGTTTATGTGTGCGTGAGCACGCGTGTCTTTGTGGGCTGTGTTGTGAAGGGGACGAGTTCGAAGTGGGCGACGGAGAAGAAGGGAAGTGGACGTAGCGAGACCGTGGAATAGAGCCCGCCTCTGGGCACACCTACACGCCCGTGCTAAAACCTCCATTAAGCAGGGCAGGCATTAATGCCTCTCACTTCTGCCTCGCCGCTTATCTTGGCTAATCTCCCAACAAAAATTATCTTCCACCAGGTTGCAATATGAGATTCGCAACACCCTTCCTCCCTTATAAAGATTTCCGCGTAAAATTGCATAGTGTGGTGGGTTTCTCTTAAGCAGAGCAGTGCGTCGGAGGCGTCATGCGGCGATCATGGTCGGCTGGTCCTGGATAAAGATCTCATGTTATATTCGAACAAAGATTCTGGCTCTGGCTCTGATATCTGGTCTCCATCGATGGCGAAAAATATGGCTAATGGTGGTCGAGAGCTGATGACCGTGACGGCACGGTGAGCCGAGCTGCCGTGACGGCACAGTGGACCTGACCTTACTGGGTGCAAGCAGACAGTGGCTCGCCCGTCACTTCAGTAAGCACATTCGTGATCTCAAAACAGTAACAAGAAACTACTATTCCTAATACTCTCACTCTCTCTCTCCCCACCTATCTCCTCTCTCCATTCCTATACCACTACACATCAGCTTCCCTCCATCCCACTCATGCCCCCTCCTCCCTATTTCTCAGTATTTCTTGCATTAATCCTTGCGATATATATATATATATATATATATATATATATATATATATATATATATATATATATATATATATATATATATATTAATCTCCATTTTGAGTCAAGATATACTCTCGGAAGTAACTCAAGAAATGTGTCGAAGAGGTAACACGGACGACAACGGCTTAGTCAAGACATAGCTGCCATTAGCCCAGAACCCCACCTTCAACCAGCTGGCCATGATCCCAGGGCAAGGGGGTCACGGAAGGTATCTCATCATCACTACACCTTTGAGGAAACTCACCCATCAGTCCCTCGAAAACATGGGCGATTCCTTGCGCTGGGGCGCAGGCGGTGGAATGCGACTTTTAAGCCACTAAGAGTACAGGGCGGGGTCAAGCCTTGATAAAACCAGCCGTAGTTGAAGACGTCAAGAAAATTACGAAATTTGCATCTTGGAAGAGCAGCGTTTTGAAAACCATTACCTAAAACGTCATTTTGAGAGAGTGAATGCCTCAAGAAGAGAGAGAGAAGAAGGATGAGAGAGCAACAACTGACTTAGGTTGATTTGGGTAGAAATCAGGAAAGTATAGAAAATCTCATAAAAAACATATGCACACACACGTATGCTTACACGTGCATACATACACTCGTATGCACGCATGCGCGCGCACACACACACACACACACACACACACACACACACACACACACACACACACACACACACACACACGCACGGTATATAATATATATTGAAGTCTGTGACTGTTAAGGACATTTCAGTAATGAGATCGGTACTAATCTCCAGTTTTTCATCGCTGTATTTTTTTAATTAAGTTTTCCTTATAATTTTTCTTTTAGTAATTTAACTTATGTTGATGGATGGCTCTTGATTCAAGGAATAAGAATCTCTTGCCTTCCCTGGTTCAGACTTTATTACCTCCTCAGTCCAGGGCGTGGTGTGACCTCCAGGTTTACCGCTTCTACATAAATATATTATATTAATATGTAGTTATCTGTTGCTTCTACTTACGTTATCTGTATACATGGAAATATTATGAAGATAGAAGAGGAGGGCAAGGAGGAAGGAAAGTGGAAAAAGCGAGGGGTAGTTAGAGAGAGAGAGAGAGAGAGAGAGAGAGAGAGAGAGAGAGAGAGAGAGAGAGAGACTGTGCAGGTAATTTTTTTGTTTTCATCACTGCATGAATATCTAGGTACGCCCCGGCCCTTTTCTGGGACAATCCGGTTAGCAATTTACCCCATGTTTATCCTGAGTTACTCATTACTCATCAGTTATCCCGCTATACTTACTACTGGACTACCTGGAGGTTACCTGGAGGTTATTACGGGGATCAACGCCCCCGCGGCCCGGTCCCTGACCAGGCCTCCCGATGGATCAGGGCCTGATCAACTAGGCTGTTACTGCTGGTCGTACGCAGTCCAACGTACGAGCCACAGCCCGGCTGATCCGGCACTGACTTCAGGTATCTGTCCAGCTCTCTCTTGAAGGTAGCCAGGGGTTTATTGGCAATTCCCCTAACGCTTGATGGGAGGCTGTTGGACAGTCTTGGGCCCTGAACACTTATGGTGTTTTCCTTTAGTGTACCAATGGCGCCCCTACTTTTAATTGGGGGCATTTTGCATCGCCTGCCCAGTCTTTTACTTTCGTAGGGAGTGATTTCTGTGTGCAGATTTGGGACCATTCCTTCCAGGATTTTCCAAGTGTAGATTATGATATATCTCTCCCTCCTGCGTTCCAACGAGTACAAGTCAAGTGCTTCCAAGCGTTCCCAGTAGTTAAGGTGCTTGACAGAACTTATACGTGCAGTAAAGGATCTCTGTACACTCTCTAGATCTGCGATTTCACCTGCTTTGAATGGAGATGTTAATGTACAGCAGTATTCCAGCCTAGAGAGAACAAGTGATTTGAAAAGGATCATCATTGGCTTGGCATCTCTCGTTTTGAACGTTCTCATTATCCATCCTATCATTTTCTTTGCACGTGCGATCGTGGCACTGTTCTGATCCTTGAAAGTGAGATCTTCAGACATTCACTGACGATGAGTCGTTAGTATCACAAGCTCATAGACTCAGACCCCTAACTAAAATTCATGTTCCTTTCCAGTGCTCAGTCTTGCGTTCATGTAGTTCTGAAGACTTTGAACACTAGGAGAGCGATATTTCAATTTGATTATGGCAATATGTGTTTACCACAGTGGGAAGTTCGACATTTGTAACTAACCATCGAGAATACTATTCTCCTTGAAGTCATTTAGCAGAAGAAACCCCCTGTGAAAGGGTCAAGAAGTCGCACCCTAATTCACGATTCGCCCAAGAACAATAAGAGTTCGAAGACTTCAAAATCTCTAAACACAATGGTCTATAAAGAAGAGCAAGGAATAAATCCTCCAGGCGAAGGGGGAGAGGGGGGAGAGGCATGAAGGGTTCCGACAATCCTCTCCGAGCAGCGGGCTTCCTCACCTTTGATCCCAGGGAAGTTGTTAGCGCCGGGAGGCCTGGCGGAGCACCGCCACCACGTGGGGCAGAAACACGGTCACCATCTGCAGACACTGGGGCAATGCGCAGGAGGGGAGGTGGCCCACTAAGGGATTGCACACGAGGCGTTAGGGTGCGGCAGACATCACCACCCGGCTCGTGTTCAAATGCTTTGTTGACCTGTTTTCAATCCTTAGCGTCACTAAACATGCAGCAATAAAGATATGCTACCCTTGTGTCTTCTCAGCAGCTAAATGAAGAATTTAAGAGGCAAATTTTATTTACATAAGAGATAAACTAGAGAAGCAAAGGCATGAAAGACCGGATGGGAGTTCACTATTAGCAGATGCACAAGTGTTGGTACAGACAATCTCAGCATCAAGATGTCTTAACGACCAGCCCTGGTCACGACCAAGCTATCGAGACCAATATCTAATCCAGGGATGTCAGGGAGCATTCAGAGGCGCTTCAAGGGCGTCCACTTGTGACTCCTTCAGGGTCATGTCAGCTCCTCTCAGCCTGCTGGTGTTGACATTTTAAACGTAAATGTGATATTTTGTGTTAATATACTTGAATGCTATTGAATTTGGTGGCTCCTAGCTCGGTTGTACCGTGAACATTAAAATGGTATAAAATACCGATAGGTTGTTAGATATGACACATATGCAACAGTTAGTATCTTTATTTCGAAACGTTTCGCCTACACAGTAGGCTTCTTCACTCGACTGAAGAAGCCTACTGCGTAGGCGAAACGTTTCGAAATAAAGATACCTAACTATTGCATATGTGTCTTACCTAACAACCTGTCGGTAT